CTGCTTCTCCCTCTGATCCTCCTCTCTCTCATGCTCTCTGTCTCTCATTCTCTCTCTCTCAAATAAATAAATAAAATCTTAAAAAAATAAATAAATAAAATAAAATAAACATGAGGAAGGTGGATTGGAAGAGCATACATTAGATATAATAGAGAATGTACCTATGATGGGGGGAAGGAAATAGGAACAGAAGTAGGAGGTAAAGGAGAAAATAATAAAACAAAACACAAGGGGTCCTTGCATGGATCAATGATGATAGTGTGCCATAACTGAGGAGTTTGATTAGCTCAACTGTATGCATCTGGTGTTTAAGGAAAAGTCCACTCTTCCTCCACAAAAAAAGCTTAAGGTGCCGATGGGACAAAAAGGAAGAAATATTCAGCAGGCAGCTGTAAACACAGTGGTGACAAAGAATAATCCAGAGAACAAAGGCTTTCAAACATTGTGGTCTCAGGACTTCTTTACATTCTTAACAATTTTTGAGGACCTCTAAGAGGTTTATGTGAGTTACAGCTATTATGTGGGTTTAATTACCATATTAGATATTAAAACTGAGAAATTTAAAAAATATTTTAAGATAGCAATAATAAATCCAGTACATATTAACATACTTTTTAGTGAAAAATATATATCAATTGAAAAATGAAAAAATTAAGGCATTAAAATTTAGTGGGAAAGGTAGTGTTACTGATTGAACATTTGTGTCCCCCCAGATTCATATATTAAAATTCTGTCTCCAATATGGTGGTATGAGAAGGCAGGGTTTTGGGCAGGTGATTAGGATAGGATGAGATCCTGAAGTCAGACCCTCATGAATGGGATTAGTGCCCCTACGGGTCAGGAGAGAGCCTGCTGCTTTGTGCTCTCCGCCATGTGAGGATACCACGAGAAGGTGACAATCTGTAGCCCAGAAGAGGGTTCTCACCAGAACTCAACCTTGCTGGCTTCCTGATCTCAGGATTTCTGGCCCCAGAACTGTGAGAAATAAATTTCTATTGTTTATAAGCCACACAGTGTATGGTATTCTTGTTATAGCAGCTTAAGCTAAAATAGCATTGTTTTACATTTTTGCAAATCTCTTTAATGTCTGGCTTAATAGAAGACAGCTGGGATTCTCAGTCTGTTTCTGCATTTAGTTTGCTGTGATATGTTTTCTTGGTTGGAGAAAATCTGGCCTTATATAGTTATGTAGTCAGAAAAGAAATATTTTATTATTTTATTTATTATTATTATTATTTTTTTTTGAGAGAGAGAGAGAGTGTATGAGGTGGGCGGAGGGGCAGAGGGAGAGAGAGAGAATCTCAAGCAGACTCCACACCTAGTGGATCCTGAGATCATGACCTGAAATGGCCAAAATCATGAGTCTGATGCTCAACTGACTGAGTCACCCAGTCACCCAGAAAAGAAATATTTTAATAGGTTTTTCAGATATATCATGTGTGGATATGTCATGTAGCTTATTAGAAAAGCTATTGTACACTTGTGAGTGAATGAGAATGATAAAGGTAAATACTGTCTTAGTGTTATTTTAAAAATAGTTTCAATCTCATGGACCTTCCAAAAGAGTGGGTTGCCCCTAGATGTTGATTTGAGAACTGCTACCATAGAGAGTTGATAATGAAGCAACAATCAAGGACTGATATAATCAAGGGAGGGAAGGAATTAAAACTGAGAAGACTGAGAAATAAACCCTCGTTTGTTCCCATGTTCGGAAGCTAGAATAAGTGAGGCTGGCAAAGTAAATTATTCATGATTTCAGATTCTGAGGGTTATTTCAGTAGAGTTGCAGGCTATGTGACTGGGGAAGCCAATTGTAAGGATTCAAAGAGAATGTGAAGCGAGGAAGCAGAAGTGGCTCCTATAGACAATAAAAAAGCAGACTGAGAAAGGAATGAGGGATGAATGATCATAATTATGAGGTAGAAGAACCAGCTGAAGGTTAGTTTTTAAAAGGAGTGGGGGACTATGTGCCTCTTCACAGGCAGAGTAGAGAGAAAGAGATGAAATTGAAAATGTTGGGAAGGAATTATGGAAGAAATGATTTTTTATAAAAATATTGAATCATATATTGTACACCTGAAATATAATATAATGTTATATGTCAATTATATCTCAATTTAAAAAATAATTTTTGACAAAGTGGGAGATGATCAGGTCAAGAGCAATGGATTGGAGGTGTTGAAAGGAGACTTTTCTCCATTGGAGAGAGGAGAGGAAGAAAGTCTAGGTGAACAAGAAGAAACAGTAAACTGGAGAGAACAGAAAGTGATGTTTGCAATTAATAGGTTCAAATTTATTGCTTTAAAACTGGGATTTGAGAAACATATTGGTTCAGTGCTTTACTTCCTACTTCCAGTTAGGCTTAGCAGAGAAAACCAAGTCTGTACTCTCTGCTTCATTCTTATATTCCTTGTACCTAGTATAGTGCCTGCACATATTCAGTAATCAATAAATATTTGTTGGTTGAATAAATCAATATACAATCTTAAACATTCAAGGTCAGAGGAGCACAGCAACATCACTGAAGCACTATGGTAAGAAATGCTACTCCCCAAATGCTCCCAGATCACTTTTTAAAAAAATCAGAACCACAAAGAAAGTAGTAGAAATAAAAAAAGACTAAAGTAACTATAGAACAGAAGAGTCAGCAGATAAGTCATGTAGCCAGATTCAATAAACAATAATAAAAATCTCAACAAGCAAACAAAAGAGCAGGCATAAATGAAATAAGTTAACCTTTAATGCCCCTGCTTCCTCTTGTGTATTTCTCTCTAATTTTTTTTTTTAATTTTAATTACCCTAATATTTTTCCTTCTTATTTTTGGGCTAGAATCCTGCTCTCAGACACAAATTAACATATTGCTTGTACTTGTGACTTAAGAAATGAAAGCAGTCATTAGGCATCTGCTTTTGGCTCAGGTCATGATCCCAGGGTCCTGGGATCAAGCCCCGCATCGGGCTCCCCGCTCCATGGGAAGCCTGCTTCTTTCTCTCCCACTCCCCCTGCTTGTGTTCCCTCTCTCACTGTGTCTCTCTCTGTCAAATAAATAAATAAAATCTTAAAAAAAAAAGAAATGAAAGGCTGGGAACAATCTTAATGTATCATTTCTTCATCTTTTAGGACCTTTATAGGCAAAGTGTAGTCCATAGACCAGTAGCATTGGCATCATTGGTAACTTGTTAGAAATGTAGAATTTTTCAGGCTCCAACCCAGACCCAAATAACAATTTCCATTTTAATAAATGCCCAGGTGATTCATATGCATGTTCAAGTCTGAGAAGCATTGTTGTAGGTGATAAAAAGACAAGGATCAGAGGTGACCCAAGAGGTGGCTCAGTCAGTTAAGCGTCTGCCTTTGGCTCAGGTCATGACCCTGGAGTCCAAGATCGAGCCCTGCATTGGGCTCCCCGATCAGTGGGGAGTCTGCTTCTCCCTCTGACCCTCCCCCCTCTCATGCTTTCTCTCTCTCAAATAAATAAATAAAATCTTAAAAAAAAAGACAAGGATCATTTCTGAGGATCTTATATACAGGATAACAAAGACACACTTCTGGGAAGACAAGAGAATTTTTAAAAACCTCACCATTAACAGTCAAATGAGACATCAGCTCCTTCATGTCTTCTTCTGTGAGCTCGATCCCCTCATTTGCTAGAAATTTGTCGAAGTCCTGGATATCAATCACCTCTCCTTAGAAAAATTAAGAAATAAATTGTAGAAATATTATAGAACTATCTATAAAGGATGAAAAATGTTATATGATTGCTCACATATGCTCAGGATTCACAGGAGGGTCAGAAAACAGTCTTGTGTTGGGGTGCCTGGTGGCACAGTTGGTTAAGCATCCAACTCTTGGTTTTGGCTCAGGTCCTGATCTCAGGGTCCTGAGATAGAGCCTCATGTCAGGCAGGCTCCGTGCTCAGTGCAGGGTCTGCACCCGGAGCCTGCTTGAGATTCTCTCTTCTCTCCCTGCCCCTCCTGCTTGAGCTCTCTCTCTCTAAAATGAATGAATAAATTAAAAAAAGAAAAAAAGTTCTGTGTCTTTAATTCTGGTGGCTACAAAAAAGAAAGTACACCATAGGTTAGGAATTGACTGGTGACTTACTGCAAAATCCATAGCAAATCAAGCTGCATACAGGGATTTGGTTTTATTTTTACTTTTCCTCCTACTCTACTTGAAAATTCAGTGTTTTTCTATAGACCAGCTTTTAAGATTTTATTTTTACTTAAAAATATTTGCTTGGAGTTTGCTTCTCTGATCATTATGCATTCCAAGATTTTTATTCATCTCAACACAGAAGTAATTTTTTCTCATTCATCATAAAAACAATGCAACAACATTAAAGATTAATAAAGGGGAGGGGCGCCTGGGTGGCTCAGTTGGTTAAGCGACTGCCTTCGGCTCAGGTCATGATCCTGGAGTCCCTGGATCGAGTCCCGCATCAGGCTCCCTGGTCGGCGGGGAGTCTGCTTCTCCCTCTGACCCTCCCCCCTCTCATGTGCTTGCTCTTTCTCATCCTCTCTCTCTCAAATAAATAAATAAAATCTTTAAAAAAAAATAAATAAAAAGATTAATAAAGGGGAAAAATATAATTCCACTATCCTACCACAAAAACCATTGTAGTTTTTCATATTCCATTTCTGGCCTTTGACAATAAGGCTATACTTTCATTGTGTGGAAATCTAATATACACACAATTCTGTATTTTGCTTTTCTGACCTAATATTACATCATTAACATATTTCCAAATTGCCACATAATCTTTACAGTTAACATTTCAACACATGATATCCCACTAGCCTAGCAGGCCATGGTGTATGTAGTAATTCCCATACTGTTAGATGTTTAGGCTGTTTCAAATTTCTCTGAAAGGCTTTAGGCAGAGATTTTTTTTCTTTTATTCAGCTTAATTATTTCCAGAGGATAAATTCCTGGGAGTAGGGTTCGTGGGGGAAAAGGAATAGTTCTTTGGCCCTTCATACCTAGTACTATGTTGAAAAACTCTTTTGGGGAAAATTTCAGAGAATGTCATGGGCATTGATATATAAACACACATTAATTATTGTTTACCCAAGTTCAGAAGCATCCATAAAAACAGAACACATATGAAAGAATTTAAACACATATGAAGGGGAAATATTTTTCTCCACCAATTGCAAAATATTCAGATGTTATGTATAATACCATTTCATCATAGCTTGCAACTTACCCTTGATGCAACTGACAGTATCCATCAAATCATTCAGACCAACTGTTCTATCATCTGTAAGGCAAGGGAAATAAACTTCAGAATCAGATAAGCTGATATTACTGAGACCCTGAAACTATGAAGACCAGAAGAATTCAGCAATTTTTCCCCAAAATTTCCTTAGAATTTTACAGACTTATCCTCAGAGATAATAGTGCTATCTTAGAAATGAAGAAAGTTTTCGATCTATAATGAATCATTCTTGTATCTCCCTTTTTCCTTTGCTTTAGAGACCACCAGAGTAACATTAAATTAAGAAGTGATTCATTCTACAGGTAAGTATAGGGAGAGAGGACAAATGAACCTGACCCTGAGTATTTTTTTTTTTATGTAGTCAGTTAATCAACAAATATTTAGGGGGTAGCTTCTATGTGCCAGGCACTTTGCTAGGCTTTGGGGATCCAAAAGTAAACCAGCTTGCAGAGTTCTTGCTGTCAAGGAGTGTACATCTAGCAGAGGGAAACAGACAACATGTAAACAAAACAAAAAGGATCATTTGAGGTACTGTTAAGAAGTTATCAAAATAAAATAGGGTTATATAATAAACAGTAATGGTAGGCTGCTTTAGACAGGGAAATCAGGGAAGGCCTCTCTGAGGAGGGTCTATTTGGGTTGAGGCCTGAATGATGAGAAGAGGATGGTCATGTAAAGAACTAGGGGAGGAACATTCCAACTAGAAAAACAGTACGTGTGACAGCCTTAAGATGGGGATGAATTTGAGCTATTTACCTGGGCTGTCTAAGCTTCCTCACATAGTATCAGTTGCTGCTTTTTGTTATGATTGAGGGGCAGAGAAAAGGCTGGTGTGACACAGGCCAGATCATGAAGGGCACTGTTGGCTCCTGACGATAAAGTTGGGATTTTGGTCTGGTTGCAACAGAATGTCATTGGAGGCCATGAAGAAGGGGAGTAATTTAACCTGATTTCAGCTTTCAAAAGATCACTCTGGCTGATATGTGCAGGATAGGGAAACCGGGGGAATGGGGACTAGATAGGAGACGGTTTCAGTGGCCCAGGAAAGAGATATTGGTGTCTTGGGCTATGGCTGCAGCAGTAGAGGCAGTGATAAATGGATTTAGGACATATTATTCAGGTAGAGCCTAGACTTAAATGTGGGATATAAGGGAAAGGAGAAATCAAGGGAGAAAACTATTCATCTTCCTTCACCCCCCACCTTCTCACTCAGCAGGGTAGAAGGGATGCCATTACTGAGATGGGGAAGGCTTAAGGCTTTTTAAGGGAATTAATTACTATTCCATTAAATTCGTGATGCCTTTTGGACATCTAAGTGGAGATATCAAATAGATAGTTTGAGATACCATTCCTGACTTAGGGACGTTGAGCTGGAGATATACATTTGCTTTTATCAGCTTAAAGAAGGTATCTGACCCAATGAGACTGGATGCAATCTCCTAGGAAGAAGATGTAGATAAAAAAGACAGCCAAGAGTCTAGTCCTGGACACTTCATTATTTAGAAATCTTGCAGAGGAAAAAGTCAGAAACTGAAAAGGAAACTAAGAAGCTCTCAGTGAGGAAAGAAGAAAACCAGGTGAGTATGGAGTTTTAAAAGTCTGGAGGAAAAAAAATGTTTCAATAAAGAGGGGTTAGTCACTATGTCAAACGCCGCTGAGATATCAAGTAAGATAAGAACAGAGACTTGACCATGAATCTTGGGAAGAGATAGAGGTCACTGATGACTGAGGGCTTGTTCAGTTCCAGGTCAGGGAACGAGTGCTAAAGAGTGAATGGGAAGGTGCAATCAAAAATGGAGGCTCTAACTGCTAGGATAAATGAGGCAGAAGAGAGAATTACTGATATAGAAGACCAAATGATGGAAAATAAAGAAGCTGAGAAAAAGAGAGATAAACAACTACTGGATCATGAGGGCAGAATTCGAGAGTTAAGTGATACCATAAGAC